CAGTTTTTAAATAGAAAATCATACCAAGTTCCAGTTTAGTCCCATTTCCAAATAATATCTCTCCACATGTGGCCACAGCACAGTAGTAAGTCCCAGCATCAGAGGAGCTGACGTTCTTAGAGAACTGAAAAACACATCTATCCTGAGGGGCAGAACTTTTCTCACATTCATTACTTCTATTTGTGTCAGTGTAGATGATGTTGGGATGAGCTTGATTTGATCCAGTTCTGAACCAGAGAATATTGAGACCTCCTGGACACGTCTTGTCAGAGTCAGAGAAGACTGAACACTGAAGAGTCATCGTGTCTCCTGAACGAACTGGGTTTGATTCTATCAGCAGCTGACTGACTGTATAGTTTGATGTCCTCTGAGTGTTTCCTGTGTGTTACAAAATAAAGATATTTTCTGAAACATGTTTTAAAACAATTTCAAACTTACAAGTATGTCAGTTTATTACCTTTTACCAACAAATACATCCCACTCCATTCAACTCCAATCCTTTCTGTGTTTGCACAGTGATAGATTCCCTCATCGTCTTGATCTGCTTTTAAAATGGTCAGGCTGGCAGAATCATCACCTATGTCAAATTTCAAACTAGTAAATTCAGGACCAAAAGTAGGTTCTGTAGATTTGAATACTGTCACTATTAACTTCAGAGTTCCCCCAAAGCTCTGCTTGTACCAGTGGACTCCTCTACTGCTGAGCTCTTTGGGTATAGCACATGTTATAGTCGCTGGTTCACCGAGCTGAACAGTTTTCACTGGAACTACAGCATCTGAATTAAGAGAAAGCAGAAAAATAAAATCTTGTTTGATATATGTTTAACTTGCACTACATGCAAGGTAACTTATAAGTGCAAAACTATTTTTACAGCAATTTATATGCATCCGTTTGACAAGTAAATTCTTAAGAACATTTTTAGACAAATTTAAAAAAGCACTTACATCCTTGGTGAATTAAAAACAATGTAATCCATAAGACGATCATCTTGACAGTGCTTCTGTTGGAGACCTCACTGGTATTTCAGTGAGTGGAGGAGGCAAGATGGTTGTTTTAGGTCAGACGGTATCTGATTGGTTAACACACAATAGATTCAAAAGATCATTTCCTGTCGCAATTGCCTCATCCTGGGCTTTGCAAAACCTATCACCTCTCTTTCATCTTCTGTTGCAACTGTCCGTTTTCCAAACAATAACACTGTTGCCTCTATTTGAGTTTTATTCTTGTCCTTAAACCTTGAGCACTCAAATAGGACTCAGTTCAGTCAGCACTGCAATTTGTGGCATGTAGTGTAAGGTACAGATATATATCATGTTTTGCATTTGAAAACAAAGTTTTAAGACTCATCATTCGCTGGGGAGAAAGAATGCTACCTCAAAATTCAAGAAGAGCTGAAGAGCAAAGCTGACCCAATGCCTCTTACACGCATGAGATGATTTAGCCTCTTGACAAAAAGAGATAATGAGTAAGTCGTGGGTCAAATTATACAGCAAACAACACAGCAGTTGTTGAGATATCCGTGTTGCAGAAAACATATGATAAAAAATGAAATGACGAATGAAAAAAAAAACTTCACAAAGCAGCAATTCTGCAGGAATTTGTTAGTAGTCAACGATCTATCTTGTCACGTTCCAACGTTTTGAGTTTTAGTTTATTTGGATGATATGTTTGAGTTCTTTAGGGTAGCTAAGTTGTTTATTAGCTTCCCTTTGTGTTTTCTACCGCTGTATTTAAGTTTCCCTTTCCCTTCATGTGTTTCATGCTGCGTGTCTTATGTTGTCAAGTTTATATTGTCTTGTCTGCGTCACATGTTTCCTGTTATTTTGAAGGTCTGTGTCCTATGGCTGTATCCCAATTCAGGGTCTGCAGCCTTAAAGTACGCAGCCTCAATGATCCTCAAGGGCCGCATACTTAAAGACCGCTAAGGCCGGAAGTGCGAGGCTTGTGAAATGGGACGGTCTAGCCTCCGTTG